GTCAAACTAACGGCATCGATCGACACACAACCCCGATGTCGATCGACGCAACGCAGAAACGCATAATCGAACCTTCTCCTCTTTGGTCTGATTCGGCTCTGCCTCGAGTCGATGTCCTGCACAGAAACCGTCAACAAACACATCCAATAACACGAAATCATCCATATCAATGAGAACCAATCATCAATTCATCACACAAACGCATTGGGATTCATTCCTTTACCCATATAAGCCATGGTCACGCACTCACCTTGGATTTGGAAGAAAAAAGGATGAGAAAACTACGAAGAACGCGATGAACATGAAGAACACGGATCTCCAATCTGAAATCCTCTCCTAAATCGCAAGAGCCCACACCAGAAACGATCTACAGAGCCTCACAACACACACAAGAGGGTCAAGAACATGAAGAAATCAACAATGATTTTTCCTTTTTTCTCAAATCCTCTCTCAAAACTCTCTGAAAACTTTCTGGAAACTAAAGACGACCAAAAACACGGTCACCATCTATTTATACCGAAACCCTAGGGTTTTCCTAACCGACACGCCGAACCGCACGATTAAAATCGAACCAATCTGGTTTAATTCTACCTTGCGTCGATCAACGCACGCCACATGCGTCGATCGATGCACGACTAAAATCATAAAGTTTGGTTCGCGGTCATTACAATTCTCCCCCACTAACACAAATTTTATCTCGAATCACGTAACACCGTCTCACTACGGTAGCCCCTTGACCAAAACCCGGCTAGCACCACCTGAGATCATCCACCGATCCTTGAGGCTCCCATCTAGTCTCATACTTACGAATCACATTCAGATGTTATTGCTCATAGCTCATAACTCATATACATATACATATACACCACACATACTCTCAAGATCGTCACCTTTCGAGCTATCGGTATGCAGGGAACCCACTATCCCCTGAAGAGAATCACCATCCCTCAAAGTATATGTTGGGGACCCACTATCTCCTAGAGAGAACCACCATATCTCAAGTATCATATGGAATCCACTATCCCCTAGAGTGAACCACCATCTCTCAAAACATATGCAGTGCAGGGAATCCACTATCCCCTGGAGCAATAACTCTGCAACGTGCATCATAAGCACCTGTCGACCAAAATCACCTCCTATGGTTCTACCATGACATCCCCTAACCCGGAATATCATCACATCATGACCAATCAGTAGGTCATCCGAAACAATTCAATCACACATGGTGTTTCCACTCGAGTCTCTAGGGAAGATAGACAGTTATAACTCACATAAAACTTATGCACACATTAAT